CCAAAAGCTTGCTTCAAAATTACCAGTGCTGTCATAAAGGAGAGAAGCAAGCAGGTTAGCAAAGACAGGGGTCAAAGCACACAGGCGAGAAAGTCACCAGGGAATGGAGATCTGGGAAAAAAACCGACAGAAATGTTGGAAATGAAAAACTCTGTGAGTTAAATTAAATCACCATGGAAGTCAATAGATAGAAAAAGCAGGAGAAGTAACATCAGGGTTGGAAGACAAGGCTGAGAAAGAGCTGTGTCTGGATAAAACATCAGCAAGCCCTGCCACAGCATCCAAGAGCTAGGGACATAATCAGCATAGCAAACCCCCGAACCCATGTGGTGGAAGTACCTAAGATTAAAAAAACTAAACTCACAGAAAACCCAAATGATAAAATTATAGCAGAAAATTTCCCAAATCTGGGGGACAGGGGTGGTGGATACCCAACTACAAGCAGCATTTGTAATCCCAGATAGATTTGAGTCAATAAGAGCTTGACCCTGACACAAGACATTAAGGATGCCCAAAGCAAGGGAACAATATTAAAAGCTGCAAGAGAAAAATGTCAACTCAGAAGAGCAAATCCACTGCAATAACATTACACCTCCAAGCTCAAACCTCCAAAGCCACAAAAGCAGAAAATTATTGTTTAAAGCCCTGAAAATGAATAACCACCAACCAAAATTTACTGTGGTCATCAAAGTTATCTTTTCTCATCAATAAAGGAAAAAGGAAATTTCAAGGTAAGCACAAATTAGGGTGATGCATGACCCCCAATCGGTGCTATAGACAAAAACACTACCTGTGGAGAAAGAAAGGCAGTCTTGATCAAGAGAGCACAGAGCAAATGCAACAAGGGAAATAGATGAACAAATTGGGATTAGGAAAGAATCCATCATGTCTAACTCAATAAATCACCAAGCATGAGTCTCAAGAGAGCAGAAAACAAGGAACAAGCATGCATCAAACCAGCCAGGACAGGAACCAGCAGAGCTTTTCTGAATACTGGTTTTTGTTGTGTCTTTGTTTGGGTTTTTTTTTCTTTCTTTCTTTCTTTCTTTCTTTCTTTCTTTCTTTCTTCTTTCTTTCTTTTTTTTTTTAAGAATCTCACTCTGTACCCTAGGCTAGCCTCAACTTCTTACATAGCCCAGGCTGGCCTCAAATTTAGGATACTCCTTTTGCATCAATCTCCTGAGCACTGTGATTACAGGTGTGAGCCAACACATCCATCCTTGTAAATAGTCTTATCTACAATTGAAAAATGTAGGCTTGCTTACTAGATTTTAAAAATAAGACATACATAGTTTCTGTCTGTAAAACACAGAGAGAAAGTGTGTGTGTGTGTGTGTGTGTGTGTGTGTGTGCATGTGGTGTGTGTGGGGGGGTGTGGTGTGTGTGTATGTGGTGTGTGTGTGGTGTGTGTGTGGTGTGTGTGGTGTGTGGTGTGTGGTGTGTGTGTGTGTGTGTGTGTATGTGGTGGGTGTGGGGGGGTGTGGTGTGTGTATGTGGTGGGTGTGTGTGTGTGGTGTGGGGGTGTGGTGTGTGTGGTGGGTGTGTGTGTCTGTGTGTGTCTCTGTGTGTGTGTGTATGTGGTGTGTGTGGGGGGGTGTGGTATGTGTGTGTGGTATGTGTGTGGTGTGTGTGTATGTGGTGTGTGTGGTGTGTGTATGTGTGTGGGGGTGTGTCTGGGTGTGTGTGTGTGTGGGGGGGGGGGGGGGGGGGGGGGGGGGGGGGGGGGGGGGGGGGGGGGGGGGGGGGGGGGGGGGGGGGGGGGGGGGGGGGGGGGGGGGGGGGGGGGGGGGGGGGGGGGGGGGGGGGGGGGGGGGGGGGGGGGGGGGGGTGGGGGGGGGTGTGTGTGTGTGTGTGTGTGTGTGTGTTATGTGTGTGTGTGTATGTGGTGTGGTGTGTGTGTGTGTGGTGTGTGTGTGTACCATACCGCATGTGTAGAGGTCAGAGGTTAACTTACAGGAGTCAGATTTCTCCTCCTTCCTTGTGTCAAGTCTTCAGATTAAAGAGGCAATCATCTTTACCTCCTGAGTCATTTTGACAGTCCTATTTATTTTAATTTTAATTGTGTGTGTGTGTGCATATGTGTGTGCCTACATGTGCACATATGTGTACATGTGGGGAAAGTGGCCAGTGTCTTCCTCTATCATTTCCCACTTTATTCTTTTTCTTTCAGTGTACCTGGTGTACTGATTTATAGAATGGCTGGGCAAGGATCTGCCAGTGTCCATACAACAATGGGTTCACATCGTAGCAGTCACGCCCAGCTTTGATGTGGACGCTGGGGATGCAAACGCAGGCCCTTGTCCTTGTGCAGTAAGCACTTTACCTGTTAAGCTGTCTCCTTAGCCCCAGAGAATATATAATTTTGTTTTATTAGAATGTTTTTCTTTCATATTGGGAATCTGAGAAAAAGGAAGCTCCTATATAATATTGTTGAAAATCTCTGTAAAATTTTGAACCATGGTGTCTTAGTTGTTTTGTGCTTATAACAAAATACTACAAGCTAGATGAGTTATAGTCAACAAAACTTTATTAAGCTCATAATTCTGCAAGTACAAAAGACTGCATCTGGTCAGCAGCTTCTTGCTGCATTATAACATTGCAGGAGCAAGAGGAAGAGGAACTTGGTGGAACTGATTCTTCATCGGGAACTCTTGTAAAAATGGACTCCTGGGGCTGGAGAGATGACTCAGCAGTTAAGATCACTGGCTGCTCTTCTGAGGTCCTGAGTTCAATTCCCAGCAGCCACGTGGTGGCTCACAACCATCTGTAATGAGATCTGGTGCCCTCTTCTGACCTCAAGTATACATGCAGGCAGAATACTGTATACAAAATAAATAAATAAATAAATAAATAGATAAATAAATAAATAAATAAATAAATCTTAAAAAAAAAAAAAAGGACTCCTGTAATAAAGGTACTAATTCATCCTCAGAGACAGAACTCTCATGACCTCACTATTTGTATTGGGATTATGTTTTCAATGTACAGACTCTGGACTCGGATTAAAACTGTCAGCAGGTTGGCTTCCTTGCCTGACTGGTTGGGTTCCACATGGGGAGCTGCTGTAGTTGGGTGAGGGGTGTAGATATGTATACACAAATACATATATGCATGCAATGCAATTGGCAGAAAGGAGCCATGAATCTGAAGGAGAGCAGGGAAGGGCATATGGCAGAATTTGGAGGAAGGACAGAGAAGGAGGAAATGATGTAATTATAATTTCAAAAAATACAAGAAACAATTAAATGAAATAAAATAAAAGTTAAAAAAAAAAAAGAAAGAAAAGCCGGGTAGTGGTGGCGCATGCCTTTAGTCCTAGCACTCAGGAGGCAGAGGCAGGCAGATCTCTGCGAGTTAGAGACCAGCCTGTTCTACAAGACCTAGTTCCAGGACATCCTCCAAAGCCACAGAGAAACCTTGTCTCAAAACAAAACAAACAAACAAACAAACAAAAAGTTAAAGTGATAGGGATCTGAAGAGGTGATTTGGTGGTTAAAAGTTACTTTTGCAGAAAACCTAGGTTTGGTTCCCAGCACCCACATGGCAGCTCACAATTTCTCAGATTCCCAGTATTAAAAAAAAACAGTCGTCGGGCATTGGTGATGCACACCTTCAATCCCAGCACTTGGGAGGCAGAGGCAGGCGATATCTGTGAGTTCGAGGCCAGCCTGGTCTCCAAAGCTACACAAAGAAACCCTGTCTCAAAAAACCAAAATAAATAAATAAATAATAAAAAATTGAAAAACAGTCAAATAAGACAAAAATATATATATACTCTTGGACTGAGAAGACAGCTTAGTGGGTTTTGATTCTTGTTGCTCTTTGGCTCTAGGGGCACAGGACATACTTAGTGCACATATATACTTGCTGGCAAACACACATACACATTAAATAAAAATAAATCTTTTACACTTAAAAGAATAATAAGTGACAGAGACACAAGCTCATTTGGCTGCTCTTCCAGGGGTCCTGTGCTGGGAGGATCTGCCAGTTGTCAATCAAGCAGCCAAAGTCCCTGGATCTGACAATGTCTGATATGTAAAAGGGAAAAAATACTAAGGGGTGCCTGCAGAGGCCCGGACCCATAGGTTCTCCTGAGCTGGACTTATAGGCAGTTGTGAGCCTCCTAACATCATACCAGGAATGGAACTCCAGTACTCTGAAAGAGCTGCAGACACTCTTAACTACTGAACCATCAATCTCCAGGCTCTGGCAAAGGGTTCCCACATCATCTGTTAGATTTAGTCTAAGTATTTGATAACTTCTGATACAATTGAAAAATCAGATCATTAAACAGTTGAATGTTTTCTTTTGAAATTAATTTTAAGGTAATATACATTATATAATATAATAAGGTTTCATTGTGGCATTTTCTTATGTACCCTTCAACCAGCTTTTGGAACTACTTCCTGAATTCAAGTTCTTATTAGAAAGTTGACATTTTTTTTTTTGAGACAGGATCTCACTGTGAAGCTCTGGCTGCCCTGAAACTTACTCTATAGACCAGCTTCCAGCTAACAGAGATCTATCTGCCTCTGACCTTCTATGTACTGCAGCATCTTTCCAGGCGCATTTCTCTACTTGATAGCCCTTGACTTAGTGTTTCCTATATTTCCTTATTTAGTCCACATTTACTTACACCACTATATCAATCCTTCCATATGTAATACTTCTGAAGTCTATCCACGAATATATTCTTTGGGCATACTTTTATCGGATTTGAAAAGTACTACCAAGGTTACTCTCAGCATTTAAGAAAGGGGAAATTATAAAATTCAGATACAGTCTAAGGTCTGAAATATCAAGACACAACACATAGTACCGGTATATTGGAATTTCTGTAGTGTCCAAACAAGACAGAATGGGTGACTATGATACATGTCAGAAAAGCACTGTAGATTAGAGAACATCACGCACAACTGCCCCCATGGATAAAATCAATGGCTATCAGGGCAGGTTCCATTAGCAAAGGTCCAAGCGGTTGCCAGTGATTTTTGTCTTCATGTCTGGCTCAACTTCTGGAGCTTGCTCAGGTGCTCCCTAAATATCTGCTTCACCTGCTTGTTCCTCAGGGTGTAGATGAAGGGGTTGAGTGTCGGTGTCACTACCGTGTTGAGCAATGACACCACCTTGCTATGACTCTCCCCCTGTCCATTCTTGCCAGTCCGGATATACATAAAGATGCAGCTGCCATAGAAGAGAGACACCACAATTATGTGAGAGGAGCAAGTTGAGAAGGCTTTCTTCCTCTCCTTGGCTGAGGGAATGCGCAGGATGGTGTAGACAATGTGGCCGTAGCAGGTGGCGGTCACAGCCAGAGTGCCCAGGAGGCTGAAGTTGGCGGTAACAAAACCCAGGAACTCTATGAGGCTCGTATCTGCACATACCAGTTCCAGAAGTGGAAAGTTGTCACAGAAGAAGTGGTTAATGATGTTGGAGTTACAGAATGGCTGCTGGAACACTATGGACGCGGGAACCATGATGAGAGCTAACCCTGTCATCCATGAGCCAAACACAAGCTGGACACAGACTCTCTTGTTCATGATGGTGGCATAACGCAAAGGGTTACAAATGGCCACATACCTGTCAAAGGACATCACTGCCAGTAGAAAGAACTCCGTGGTGCCAAGGAAGAAATAGAGGAATGCTTGGAGTAAACAACCTACTAGGGAGATGGTCTTGTGTCCTGTGATGATGTTGGTTAGCATCTTGGGGAAGATGACAGAGGTAAACCAGACCTCTAGGACAGCGAAGTTTCGGAGGAAGTAGTACATGGGGGTGTAAAGGCGCCTGTCCACTAGGGTGATGAAGATGATGAGGAAGTTTCCCAGCAGTGTGAGGAGGTAGCTCAAGAGGAAGCTCAGAAAAATGAGCACCTGCAGCTCACAGGCATCAGTCAGCCCCAGCAAAATGAACTCAGTGACGGTGGTGATATTCTCCATGGCCCCTCCCGCCACTGCTGAGGATGCTCATGGATCATGCTCAGCATCAGGACCTGAGTTCTGAGCACCTGGGGACAATACAGAGCTGAAAAATACAGAGGAATGAGTATGACACTTTGAGCTGGAGGACTCCTTTAGTGTTCTCAGGTCTTCACATTCTCACTCCTCAGGTTGGTGAGTAAGATCTCTCACTGAGTCAAGAGCAGATCGTAAGCATTAACATCATTTTAGAAAATCTGGGGGAGTTACTTAGAAAAATACTAAAACAACTTTTTGTGTAACCTATCTTTTTGCTGCTAGTAATTTTTTATTATTATTTTAGATTGGATGATATCTTTTCCCAGGTTCATTTAAATGTTGTAAGAGGCCTCCTAAATCCACTAAAAGATTTCCCTTTGCAAATGTGAATCAAAGACTCTTAGCACCATCGTTGATGGAAAGCTTACCAAACTTGCTATGGAAGGAATTTTAGAAAAGACTGTAACTGTGTTTGAATTCCAGTTACCTCACCTTAAGAATCTCTTTTCATCCGTAAGACAGCATCTATGACGATGTCTTCTGAATTTGGGTCTGTGTGTGTGTGTGTATGCATGTGAGTACAGGCACCCCCAGAACCAGGGATGTTGGACCCTGGAGCTGGAGCTGCCCGGCGTGGGTGCTGGGAATTGAACCCAGGTCCATTGAAAGAGCAATATGTGCTCTTAATCGCTGAGCCATCTCACATTTCCCAATCTATGGAGACTTGGCGGTGCAGGCTGGGAGAGTAGCTCTGTGGCACAGCCCTTATCTAGTATGTTTGAAGCTAGTTTCAAGCACCACCGCTCTATTTTGTATGGATTCTGTTGCATTTTTCTATTGTTATTTTCCATCTAAATATTCTCTTATATAGCTATGCTCACAGGCTGTGCATTTCACCCCTTTGCTTCTCATATGTTAGTAAAATGAAATGTCATTTTTATAAACATTTTGTAATGATGTGACTACTATTTTTGAGGAATATGTGTACATAAAACTGATATGGAGAGGTAAGAGGATGCATTTTTATCAGGTCTTGTGCTTTTGTATAATATCCACACAATCAAATCAAATAATAGTAATATAAATGGCATTCCAGGGTTATTGATGAATCCAATCTCAATTTTAGAGACTACATCTTTCACCTTAAGTGATTATTCTTTCTAGGTTATCCAAGTTAGTATTGTCCTTAGACTGGCCTCAACTTTGCAATCCTCTTGCCTCACCCTCTAAAATGCTGGGAACACAGATGTACACCATCACACCTGGTTCAAGGTAAACTTCTTTCTGTATGGGAAACTAACTCTGGCACAGAAAACAGGAGGAACTAATGTGAAAAGGTTAAATCTGAGAAATGACAACATACTACATTATACATGAGTAAAGTATGTGTTTTTGTGGAGAAGTACCAGACACTAGGAGAAAAAGTGGACATGCAAAAATGGAGGGCTATGAGTGTCTTTTCTTTTATATTATTGTTTGTGTAGTATTCTGAATCCAAAAGTAAGAGAAATGGGCATGGTAAGTTTATATGGGTTCAGAGTTGGGTAGAACATTTTGCTGACAAAGAGGAAACAAATGGTTGAAAATATAGGAAAAACCAATAGGGGCTCATTCCTGGGAGATGCAAATTCTTCCTCTCCCAGCAGTCATGGTTACCTATAGTTCTTTGTCTAGGGGTGGGACCATGTGAAAACATCTCCCCTCCACATACTATATGTCTGTACATACATATATGTGCATATTCTAGGTATGTATTGCAATAATAATCAAAGAGATGGAGGCTATCAATTTGAGAAGAGGGTTGTGAGGGGTTAGAAGAAAGATACTGAGAGGGGCTGGGGAGAAGAAAGGGAATGGAGAGAGCGATACACTTCTGTTTTAATTTAAAGGGTATTTTAAAAAGAAAGCATAAGAAAAACCTTGGAGGTACTGTGATTCATGGGGCTGCACACCAGTCAAGATACTTGAGAACTAAGAAAAAGCCAGAGAGCAGTTGTGCTGCAGTCTAACAGCCGACACCTGGAAACAAATAACAGGTGTTTAGGCAGAGTCCTGAAGGATGCTTTTCCCCATTCCAAAAAATGCATCAGGCATATTACCCTACTCTCTGGTGGATGCAGTACTAGACTAATAACTGTTTTCATGGAAGCTTCAGGGTCTACAATGTTGCTTGAAGGTCTGTGCTTCTTCATGGAATCACCAGACTTCTATAAGACGGACGCTCCAAGGCTGCCAGATGTTCTACAGCTCACAAACACCGGCAGGTCTTGTCCCACTGCACTTCACGCACCACCAAACCTTCATGATTTCCTGCAACCCATCTCCCATTGCAATACTCCCTCCCTCGGTCCTCCCAAAATGAGTTATCTCTGGATACTTACCAGAACTGGGTTTACAAGCTCCTTAGTTAGCTGCTAATGCTGCCTGACCCCAAGTGTCATTGCTGGACCTCTTTCCTAAGAAGTAAAACACCCATCTATAGTTCCTATATTAGAGAGATCCTATTTGCTGACTCAACTGATGACTCGTGTGACTGGCTCTTACATGCTGGGCTTGATCTTCCAGGCCCATCATGCCCACAGAAGATTTGGGGGTAGAGCAATCATGGTAAACCTTTGTCTCTGTGGACTGGGAAGAGGCCTGGGGTGTTAGAAGTTCTCTTTGGTCTCCATGGAAATTCAGAGATGCACAAAGTTGCATAGCTCAGACTTAACTCATCTGAGATCCTCTCTTCTTGCTGGCTGGTGCTATACTTCCCTTGAGATTCATTACCGTCAGTGATAACAGGGACCAAGGAAGGTCCCTTTCCTCTTACTTCATTCAATTCTCAGACTGAAAGTTTACTTTGTTCTGACCAAGAAACACAGAAACTCCCAATGAAGTTTTAATTGGGACAAAGAAACAAAACAAAAACCCCAACAATTACTACTTCTTTGAGAATGTCATACACACATCATATCTGTCCTATTCCTCTCCTTAACTCTTCCTAGATCCACCTTTGTGTCCTCTTCCCCACCCTACCCCAATGAGTCCACTGGGCAAGGAAACTTCTCTGATAAGGTCTGATAATCACACTAATCTGTGTGTCTGTGGATATATATTTAACAACAGTTCGATACTATATCCATTTAGCAAAATAATAGTAGGTTCAACTCTGGGGTCTATGAGCTTTCCAACTATGGACTAAGCTATTGGCCAGATTTACAGAAATAGTCAAGGGCTTTTTCCTGTGGAGTGGACCTTAAATCCAAACCAGAAAGCAGTTGGTTAGCTTCATAACATCTATGCCACTATTGCACACATAAACATGTTTTGCCATATTTGTCGTCATTTCAGCTCATAAAATTAGCAGCTAAGTACGACTGTTGATGATATTCCCTCAGCAGGCTGACTGGTACCTTCCAGTACTTTGAAAGCCAGCAGCAGGAGGAAGCTTCCTAGTCAGCATCAACATAAATTTCTCCATGTCCTATGAGCAAAGTGTGCTGTCTTCAGCAATAAGGTCTGACCATTAAGTTCTGATGGACAGCCAGGAACAATAGCAATAGCCAACATTTTAAGAATACCCCAGTCCTGTTTTAATATAGGTGTGCTGGGATTATAGATGTGTGCAGCCACGTCCAGCTGGGCTCTGAGGATCAAACTCAGATCACCTGGCTTACATGGCTAGTGTCTCTACTCAGTGATCCATCTCCTCAGTTCTAAAAGTTTTAATTTACTGAAGGCATAATTTTGAGAAGATAGCCCTGGAGCTCCTTGATTACACAGGTCTGCCTAGGAGAGTGTTTCCAGAATTTAGCCCTCAGGCAATTCAGAGGGTTCTACAACTGTGATCCAAGTGGGCCTGGGTATTGTTTAGCTAACAGCAAGCCTTGGTATTGGTTTTTCAGTCCTGTAGAATACAAGAGTATGGATGGAGTCACAGCCCACCAAAATTAAATCAAGATTACATAAGCAATTTAAACAGACCCAGAACCCCTAGTGAAACAGAAGCAGTAATTAAAAGTCTCCCAATTTAAAAAAAAAGCTCAGGGCTAAATGGATTCAGCACAGGATTTTACCTGATCTGAATTATTTAATTTAATAATTATTTAATTATTAAAGAATAATTAACCCAATACTCCCCAAATTATTCCACAAAACAGAAACTAAGGGAACATTGTCTAATTCTTTTTACAAGGCCACTATTACCCTGATGCCTAAATCACACAAAGACCCAACAATAAATAAAATAAAATTACTGTGGTGATTTGAATAAGAATGGCCCCCATAGGCTTATATATTTACATCCCTAGTTCCCAGTTGATTAACTGCTTGGGAAGGATTATGAGATATGGCATAGTTGGTATATCATTGAGGGGGTGAGCTTTGAAGTTTCAAAAGCTCATGCCAGGGGCCAGTGCTCTTTCTCTCTCTCTTTCTCCCTCCTTCCCTCTCTCTCTCTCTCTCTCTCTCTCTCTCTCTCTCTCTCTCTCTCTGTCTTCCCCCCCTCTCTCTGCCTGATGCCTGCATATCAGGATCTAGCTCTCAGCTACTTCTCCAACACCATACCTGCCTGCGTATACCACACACCCCACCTTGATGCTAATGGACTAACTTGCCGAAGCTGTAAGCCCCCAATTAAATGCTTTCTTTTATAAAGTTGCCTTGGTTATGGTGTCTCTATAGTAATACAACAGTAACTAAGACAGAAGTTGACACCAGGGAGTAGTGTATTGCTGTGACAGGCCTGACTATGTTCTTGTTTGGAGGAAGAATATGGAAGAATTTAGGACTTTGAACTCTTTAAATGGGTTTATGGGCCATCCAGGTAGGGAGAGAGTAGGGTGGAGAGAAATGTGGACTCTGGTGGCCCAACTCAAGGGGTTTCAGAGGGAAAGAGCATTAGAGACCATTCTTCTACAATTTTGGCAAAGAAAGTGGCTGCTTTCTACCCTTTCCCTAAAAATCCACCTGAGACTAAGTTGAAGAGTTTTGGATTA